AGGGTGCATATCACACCATTTGTAGTTAATTTCCTGAGAGTATGTACAGAAAATTTTGAAAATATATACAAGAACATATCAATAGTCATTATCTCTGCATAGTAGAAATATAGACTAAGAGGAATATACTGTAATTTTATACTTATCTGTAAAATTATAATATTATATTATGAACTCTTTATTCTTTTCTTTCTTTCTTTTCTTTTTCTTTTGCCTTTCTTTCTTTTCTTTTCTTTCTTTTTTTTTTGTAATGGGATCTTATTAAATTGCCCTGGCTGGCTGGATGGGGTGGCACACACCTGTAACCCCACCAGCTCTGTAAACTGAAGAAGGAATGTCGAAAGTTCAAAGCCAGCCTAGGCAATTTAGCAAGGCCCTAAGCGACTTAGGGAGACCCTGTCTCAAGATAAAAAAAAGTATAAAGGGCTGGGAATGGAGTTCAGTGGTAGAGCACCCCTGGGTTCAATCCTCCCTACCAAAATAAAAATTGCCCAGTCGGGCCCAGAACATGTGATCTCCCTACTTCAGACTACAGAGTAGATGAGATTACAGTCGTGTGTCCCTAGCTTCATGAACTCTTACATTACTTTCATAGTAAAAAGGTAGTGGTAATTTAGAAAGTCAATTAGCATTTATTTTTTATATTTTCTTCTTAGATAATAACAACAGAGTGAAGCTGGTAGCTGATGCTAGTATTCCAGGATCGGATTACATTAATGCCAGTTATGTTTCCGTAAGTTGACATATTTATAAATTTCAAATTTTTATAAAACATAAATACTGAAATTATATTTCCTTTCCAACTATTTTAAAAAACAAGTTCCTTACAAATTCTGTGACCTCAATATGCTAGTTACCTATAACAACACTATACAGCCCCCATTTTATAGATGGGAATGTGGAGGCTCAGATCAGATTCCTGTTGATCAACAATCATTTTACTATTTTATGGCAGACATTCAACCTGATATTACATACTCCTGGTCTTGTCACTGTTTCATAAATCTTGTTAATGTATTATTTCTACACAGTAAGGTCTGATGACTTCTTTCAGTGAAAAAAATTAGTCAAATGGCCAGTTGTTTCTATACAATATAAAAACCTATTATGTACTTTTTCCCCTCTAATTTGTAGTTCTTCAAGTGGGTGATGATGCCCTATTCTTTCTCTCCTCAGCTACTTGTAGAATGAATACTCCATTGTAGCCACTCAATAAGCATATCATAAATGAATCCACTTGTAGAGAATTGTGACATACTTAATGTACTCTCTCGCATATTGTAGATAATAAATGCATAGTACATTGGATTGAAAATTGAATGAACCAACTCTCCCTTTATCTATGACTCTTTTGTTCCATCAGTATTCATCACCATCATAGGTACTTACAGGCACCCAAGACCTCCACTTGTGGTTGACAAAATTAATGGAACCTTAGAGTAGGACTGGTAGTGCCTTTCCACTCATTTAATTTGACATTTACCTCAGGAATTAAATGTCAGCCTTTCCTGTCATTGATTCATCCACTTTCTCCTAAGGCAGATGATTCTGTCTCTACGAATCTGTATTATACATATGCTTTTTAAAGCTTAAAAAATTAAATGTGTCCTCTTATATTTTTACCCATAGGCTTCAATTCTTTTTTTTTTTCCTGATACATGTAAGGTTAATCATTATCACAGGAACCTACAGATACTTGATATCCATGCTCTCCATAATTGTTTTTTTTTTGTTTGTTTGTTTTTTTAATTTTCCAGTCTGGGAGTCCTTTCAAACAAGCCTGCAACTTCCTTCAGTTCTGTTGAGGCCCTTCTGCTATAATGTTCTATCCTTTCACTAGTATCAAACATTCATTTTCTCAGTCTTATTTCCTGTGAGCCAGTGTGATGGTAGAGGAAAAGAATTTACTCTAATTCTGTGGTTGATAATGACTCCCAAATTACAGGCATATAATGGAGCATATTGTTGAAGTAGTGAATAAGGAGAGAATTTAAGGCTTCTTAGAAGGGTAAGTAAGGGAGAGTTTAAGGAGGGTACGGCAACTTTGAATTTCATCCTATTTCTATGCTAGAACTTTAAATCTCTATTGAAATAGCTACATGAATATACTATTATGATAACATTTACTTATTAATTTATAATTGTTTGAGTCTTTTGAATGCTTAATTCTTTAAATGTTTTGCCAAAAATTTATGCTTATTAATTTTTGTTTTAGGTTAACTCTACTGCATTTTGAAGTTTTGTTTTGATTTATATAATTATTCAGATATTTACATCTAATCACTGCACTAATAATCTAATGTTTTGTGATACTATAAGGTCAGGAAAAGGCAACTGATTGTATCAATACCTATTGATTTGTACCATTTTTAAATTCATTAATAATTAGAAACAAATCAATAGCTCATACTCTCTAATATTCCACTAGATATGGGATAACTGATAGTACAGGATATGACTATGACTGAGATGGAAACCAAACAGTAGGTGCAATTGATCTATACAGATTACATAAGAAAAGTAGTATTTATGAACCCCCTGAATCCCTTCAGGCTCCCTCCTTTCTAAACTCTCACCCTCTTTCTCTCACCTTCAATACCCCTTCCCACATTTTCACCTACATCTGCTATGCTTTTCATTATTTCACGGATAAAATGGAAGCAACTAAATTTTCCCACATCTCTGCATGTATGTCCATATATTCAATCTCTTCTCTGTGGCCAGTGGATGAGCTATCCTGTCTACCAGCAACAGCCTATCCCTTGTCTCTCAAGAATGTGGTTTGAGGAATTTTCTCTATTTTCTGTCCAATTAATTACATTCTTCCATCAGACAAACAAACATTGTCCTTTCTGCCATCTTAAAAAAATTGATATCACTGCTCTCCCTTACTTCTTCCCTGTCGTTCTATGTCCCATTTACACTAGAGTCCCTTGAAGAATTGTCCATACTTACTCCAATTCCTTTTTCTTCTTACCTGTTCAACTCACTCAAATTATGCTTTAATGCTAAGCAAATACAACACTGAAATTTCAAGTCACCAATTAACTACTCAAAAGACTAACACCAACACCGTGTCAGTCCCTACTTTATCTGAACTATTAGCAGCTCTGATCCTTCATCTTAGTCTCTGCTTTTCTCTCATCTACTCTGACCTCTAAGCATTGAAATATCTAGAGATCAATCCTTGAATTTACTATTTCCAAACTCATTTTATTGGTGATGTCATTGATTTTTATGATCAATGTGCTAATTACTTTCAAATTTATCTTTCTACTTTGAACTTCTTCCTGAATTCCACATTAATATACCTAATGACCACCATATCATGCTCACTTAATGTCTAATAGCTGTTTAAGGTAAAATGTCCAGTATGGATTCATGATTTTCCCAACAAATATGCTCTTCCTGAAATCTTCCTCATCTTTTTTTAGAGTCATTTTTTAATAATATAGTTCTCTCAATACCCTATCTATCAGCAAATCCCTTACAATATAACAGATTGTGAGGCTAAAAGTAGATTTTGAAAATTTTTAATATCTAAGATTGTTTGGCATTTAAAAACATGAAGTATTTTATACCACTTGCATATTTTTCAGATATTGATCAAAAATGAAAAATTCTATATCAATATAAACATTGATGCAGTGTATGTTATTATTTCTTTCTAGGGCTACTTGTGTCCAAATGAGTTTATTGCTACTCAAGGTCCATTGCCAGGAACAGTTGGAGATTTTTGGAGAATGGTGTGGGAAACAAGAGCAAAAACATTAGTAATGCTAACACAGTGTTTTGAAAAAGGGCGGGTAAGTTACATAAAAATCTTTTCACAAAATGTTATTTTACAGTTGTGTTAATATGTGTGAATATTTTAGCTAGTACTGTAAGTCATCAATAATTTAGATGTCTGTAAAGGAGTTTTAACTTAGTAGTAGTAATTGTAATATATTATATATATATATATAAAACAATGTTATATATATATAAAACAATGTTATATTTATATATAACAAATATATAACAATGTATATAACAAATATATAGGAATGTATATAACATATATATACATATATATAAATAACAATGACACATATATAGCATATATACCATTAAAGCACATATATGTATATATAACAGTAACATTTATGATTGTTGATTTTCTCTGATGCAGATAAGATGCCATCAATATTGGCCAGAGGACAATAAACCTGTTACTGTTTTTGGAGATATAGTTATTACAAAGCTTATGGAGGATGTTCAGATAAATTGGACCATCAGGGATCTGAAAATTGAAAGGGTAAAAAAAGAGGGGGAGGGGACGTGTATAAAATATGAATGATCTAAATGTCTCAAGTAAAATTAATTTCTAAAACTATCACTTAGAAGAATACCTCTATATTTAACAAGGCTCTCCCACTGTTTTCTAAATAGAAGTTTTAAATTGCTATCTTCCTGTAGTATCTGTATCACTGTGTTTCATTGCCAATCACATGATTAAAGTGTATATTAAGTAATTAACATCAAATTCTTAGGTTGACAAAAACAGAAAAAGGAAGAAAAACAACTAAGTCACTAGGTTTGTTTAATTTGATTATAAATAATCTTATATGGGCTAAGATGGCAAGTCCCCACATTACTCATTGCTTTCTAAATTCTAATGGCTTAATTTTCTATTTAATCTAGAACCAGTACAGAAGAGTTAGTGCAAGGTCCCACTCTGTTGGTTTATATGCCTAGACACACAGAAAATAATATAAGGATCTGTATATTTCCTGACATTAGATACACAATACCTGTGTTTTGTATAATTAATGAATGCATTCAAGTGTGGGGGTCAAAATTGTTTCAAAATCTGATATTCTAACTATATTTGAATTTTAATACTCTATAGGAGGACTTGAATCCAAAATTTTTTATTGTTACCTTCTACCAACAAGAAATTCTCTTTATTACAATAAAAAATAAGAAATAATGAAAACAGAACCTGTTCTGTTGGTGAATAGTCATTTTTATAAGCTTATCTCCAAAAGCTCAGGCATAGATTGTCTTCAGCCTTCATGTAGTACTTAAATAATTTTATTATTCATAAATCTGTTGCTTTGTGTAGCATGGAGATTATATGACAGTTCGACAGTGTAATTTTACTGGTTGGCCTGAACATGGAGTTCCTGAAAACAGTACCCCTCTAATTCACTTTGTAAAGTTGGTTCGAGCAAGCAGAGCACATGACACCACACCTATGATTGTTCACTGCAGGTAAGAAAGATTCAGAGAAACCTTCTCTTAAATGCTGGGAATGGACTTGAAAGCCAAAGTGAACTTTTTATTTTCATGATATCAAGTTGTGTAACATCTCATCTTTCATTATTTCAGTTGCCCCTATTCTACTATCAAAATTTACTTGTAGAAAAAATTTTCTAGATTTTTGAATTACAGGGAATGAATTAGGAAAAATAAACTTAAAAAAATAAAACCAAGTATGGTTCCAGATTTTTACAAAACTTTACTCAAATCTTTTTCTTTTTTAATGAGGACTTTAAACATGGTTAATAAAGTATGACTGTAAATTGACTTTTTCCTCAGGATTTCCATTGGGAATGCAATTTTATTCTTACAAATTAAATTCCAGACTGTTTAGCATTCAAAACTTTTCTAGACACACGGTTATAATTTAAGTTTTCTAATGTAATATACCTAAGTGAATCTCAGTTTGAGCTTTTTAATTTTTTTCGACAAGATTCCAACTTTCTTTTTTTAAAACTTTATAATGTATTTATTCTAATCAGTTATACATGACAGCAGAATGCTCTTTGATTCATTGTACACAAATAGAGCACAATTTTTCACTTATCTTGTTGTATACAAAGTAAGTTTACAGCATTCGTGCAATTATATATGTACCTAGGGTAATGATGTCTACCTCATTCCACTGTCTTTCCTATTCCTAAGCCTTCTCCCCTACTCTCCTTCCCCTTTGCCCAATCCAAAATTCCTGCACTCATCCCATTATAGATTAGCATCCACTTCTCAGAACATTCGGCCTTGGGTTTGGGGGATTGGTTTACTTCCCTTAGCATGATATTCTTCAACTTCATCTATTTACCTGCAAATGCCATAATTCAGTTTGAGTCCTTTTCACAATTGGAGTTTGGAAATTAGAGGAAAAATGGGTGATAATATAATGTATTATGATTCCATTTACCAAAGATACATAAACAGATATATTTACAGAAATAGAAAGTAATATAATTACTTGGAAAGGGATAGAGAGGCTTATTTTTACAGTCTAGTATGATGTAAAAGTCCTGGAAATGGACAGTGGAGATAGTTGCACAATACTGAGAATGTACTTACTATCACAGAATTGTATATTTAAAATTTGTTAAAATTGTAAAGTTTTTGTTGTCTATATTTTAAACAATAAAATGTGTTTTATCAATATATTTTAATCATAGCCTTTTAACAATACATTGAAATTAATTTAGTTGGATATATAAGAAAAGGTAAATCCATCAGATTTTCAAATCTTTTTCAAGGAAAAACTCAATATGTAACTTAAAACTCAATATGTAACTTATTATGCAACTCTTATGATATTTTGAATTTTTTTAATTATAAGAGTAAAACATAAATTTGCATTTTATGAAGTGTGAACAATGTCTATATTTACAAAGCATATAATTCAAAAAGTAAAAGCTACATGCTTGCCCTCCCAATTTAATTATTCTCCATATACATAATATTTTTAATAGAATAATATGTAGCATACATATTATAACATTTTGTATTTAGGGCCAGTGGTTGGTTTTTTGTTGTTATCGATAATTAAACCTTTAATGAACAATAAATTAAGTTTAAAAAGCTGCTTTTATACCTTCTTCAAATCTTGTGTACACACTTCCATGGCACTAAAAGTCAGTGAAAAAGAAAAGTATCTTTTCTAGTTTAAGCATCAGAAAGAATAGCATCTCCTCTTTTGAGATTTAAATAACTAAAATTTAAGAAAAAAATCTGCCCAGATTAATGATTGTCTTTAAATATCATTTTTATATTGTCTACTAAACATTTACCATTTCTCATCACAACTTTAAACATCCCCTACAGCTTTTAGTTCAACATGATAACCCAAATGACTAAAAATTTCTAAAAGTTTGATATGTCCCAAACAGGACATTTGATTCCATCTCCAAACTCCTCCTCATTGTCCTAGTGTTGGTAAACATCAGGTCCCTCCAGCTTTGGTCAAGTAAGCCTTGAAGTCATCCTTAATCCTCCTCTTGCTCATCCATATCCCACATTCCACATTCCTCCAGCCCACCAAGTCCTCCCATCCCTGGGCACCTCTCACCTTCCCATTGTAACCTCACCTGCCCATTCTTCTTGTTTCTTGAACACACAGACCATATTCTCACTCAGATCTCTTCTCATTATGCAACCTTAGGATCTAGTGGTCCTCTCCACCACGCTTCCTTGGTCTGCTCCCCAACCTTATGCAAATTTCTTTTCAGATATTACATTATCAGAATAGCTTTGTCAGATTACCCTACTCATCCCTATCACTCTCTATCTCCTTAGCCTGATTTATCTTTCTTTATAGCACTTGTTATCACCAACCATCTTCTTTGCCTGTGTTCATTTGTGTACTGCTGTCCTCCAGGGTATAAGCTCCACACACCTGGGCACTTTGTATTGCTTACTGCCATAACTCAGATGGCTAGAAAGGTGTATTAAGTGATTTAACGTCTGATTACCTTGTTCAGGCATGTGTGTATTCATGCTACCGTCATTGGAAATGTTAAGTTGAATAATAGGAAATTACTGATATTTGCCTCTTATGTTACTCAATTGACAGTTTCTATGGAACACCTGTCCTTGAGTATTAAATTAATTTCCTAAAAGAAAATAACTTGCAAATTTTATTAACTGTAGGAGGTTTAAAAAAAGTTCTCTGGAGAAAGCAAAATGAGGTGAGAGGGCTAGGGGTTTGGCTCAGTGGTAGAGTGCTTACCTAGCATGTGTGAGGCACTGGGTTTGATTCTCAGCTCCACAATATAA